ACTATGAACAAAAAATTCAGACAGTAACATAGGCTTACATAGGGGTGATCGGGGGTGCTTAGCACCCCCTTATTTAAAATTAGCACCCCCAGTTTTTTAGAATATTTATTTCAGTATTTCATCAATAAATTATAAATTATTGTGGTTTATTGGGTTGGACATTTTTTTTCCACTATAGACAATAATATATTAATATAGTTAATGAATACATGATTAAAACGGTATAATTGTATAATTGCACGTTTTACTGTTTCAGTTTTTGTCTAACTATTAAACTATAAACAGCAATCAAAATATTATAGAAAATCATATTATCTTACTTTATATCCTTATATTATCTACGGTTTACGGTTGGCTACGAAGTTATGTTCCATTTATAACTTTGATTATTACTTGGTTTTTAATAATATTTAACCAGTGGGCTACGCAGAATTATACGCGGAATGACAAATATTATTACCAATCATACAAATGATATGATTCATTACTATTAACATTTTATATACTAGTTCATATTTTTGATATATCAGGTTATTTTGAATATATCGACAGTTAGTTTATCTGCAGAAATGCTGGTCTCAAAAAATAGTCTACCAGCCAAATTTGAATTTGAAGACTTGAAAAATCAATGTAATAAAAGTTCGTTTCCAAATGTTTATAAACTTGTTCAAGTGGTAATGACAATTCCAATTCCTCCTTCAATGTGTGAACACTCCTTTTCAGTTATGCGTAGATTTAAAAATTGGTTACGCACTAGTATAAGGCAAGAAAAATTTATTATGCTATCCACGCTTAGCATTAAAAGAGATCTTACGAATAAAATAGATGGGAAAATAATATTGGAAAAATTTGCATCATCAAACAGGAAATTAATTCTTGTTTAATATATTATTTATATTAACATATTATTATAACTTATAATATAATTACTTTTAAATATTCATTAATAAAAAATTAAAAATTATGGCAACGCAGTTGATTATAGTATTAGGAGGGTGTTTGGGCAAAGCTCCCCACGGACCTGTGTATTTTAAATTATTCCAGCACCCCCTGAATTCACACACAATGTGCGCCTATGGACAGTAACGGTATTAAGCATAACGATTTGTGCAATGTAATATTGACATTTTCTGCGGATCGTGCGAAACTTGGAATAAGAATATACATATGTTTATCATATAGTTATGGACGTGGTATACCACTTACAACGTGCTGATTTTATTAAAAAAATCATATGAAACTTCACTGTCACCGAAGTATTGGGGAAATTTTGTTGACGCTTTATAATAACACGTGCGTAAGTAACCGCGAACGCGAGGAACTTTGCACTCGCACACGTCGGAATACAAATTTGATAGAAGCGTGCACTTATTTGATGGTATTATATCAACTAATTTTACAACGGGTGTACGGTAAACCATTTGTGTAGTTAAGGTGCTGCGCGAAAAATGAAACCTGAACGAGTACCAACTACCAACAAGATAATAAAAACGTTTTATAATAAAATATGCTTGTATGTAGGTGAAGTACGCGCCCTGCACTGAACGCATTCAATCACGACATCAAAAATTTCCACCAGATAATATAACGATAAAATTGGTTTTCAGTGCGGTTTTTTTTGGAAATTTGTAATTTATATTTTATTTTTCACAAATAGTAAATATTATTTTGTTTAAAATATATTTTCTTAACGTCGTGTACAATTTGAAAATAACATAATAAATACATTCCAGGATGGACTGCAAAATTTTTATAAACGCATCGCGTAACGAATGTCGTAGGTGTGTTTTTGTACTGTGAAGTATGGATATAGTCGTATATTAAAATTCGGTTACATCAAATATAAGGAATAAACACCAAGAAACGGAATTCACGACTGAACATATAGGTTTTTGTAATATATTAATATATGTACAATAAACACGTGTAAGAAGGGTGCACGTATAGGGACAAAAAGACGAAAACGCGTCTGAAAGGGATGTTTGACAATATTATTAATGTGTTTCGAACAACTTGTGATAATATTATTTATAAAATGTTTGTTTATAATACATATATATATAAGTATATGTGTATGTATATGTATATATATGTTTATATATAATACGGGATATTTTAAGGAATTTTCACAAAAGGCGACGTTGAAAAAAAAAATCAGATTCAACACCAAATCGTTTGGGATGAAATACGTTTTTAGAGATAGAAAATAATCATGTGAATTGAGATGGTTTTTGACAGCCTCTATTTTTTATAAAAATTCGTACTACACATTTTATACACATTTATAATGATATGATACAGAGATCCCCTCTACCCCATTCCATATGTTTAAAATTTTTAATACAATGTCAGTTATAATTTTTAGTAATAGATATTTTTTATTAATTAAATTGTACATTATAATTAATAAACTATCAATCTGTTATTATTTTTTAAATTGAAAATATACTTTTGTCTGGTATATATCTAAAAATTATTAAACTATTAACATTTTTTTTTTTTTTAATGTTAATTAAATATATTAAAATCCTCATCAGGTGTCTTGTTTAAACTGGCTTTCTGAAAAACACCTTCATAGTAGTCTAATTTATTAATATTTAGTAGGTACACATATCTCAAACATAGCATACTTCTAGTTTCGGACTATACACACTTTCTGTTGGGGTTCATTCAAAAATAGGAGCTGATTTTTAATAGTATAAATCAAACCTATTGAAAATGAGTTCAATAAAAACAACACGTGTAACTTTTATGTATTGCGTACCGGTAGTTACACATAGGTGTTTTGTGAAATATTGTGTTAGAGTTATGTATAAACTTCAAAAGTCATATCATGTTAATAATTATTTGGATTGTACCAACAGAAGCTATGTTTTAATTGGATCACTTCTTAAACTGTTATTTTAATGCGTAATTGATTTCTTCTTGATATTTTATCTGAGATCACATTCAAAATGTGTACATATTTCACAGCAGTAGCGTAGATACAATTATTTTCTGGGGGGGGGGGGTGTTTAAGAGTAAGTTTTTAAGTGTTCGTAGTATATCTTAAAACGAGATCATATATAATATTACATTTAAAATAATGTTATTATGTCCCGTATTTATGAAAATTATTTTGTTATTCAATTTTTAATATATACCTAATCATAGTAAAATCAAAATATTTTACTATAATATATAAATATTAATAAATAATAATCAAATATCATTAAAAAAAAAATCTGTGGGGGGGTGGAAACCCCTTACACCCTCCCCGTAACTACGCCACTGTTTCACACTCTTTACACTCCTAATAATGCGACACATCGTTCATTTTATCGATTATCTACACAAGTAAAATGAGTGCACATGAGTGAAATGCTAACCAATTGAATACATGATTTACTATGAATATACAATATTGTGTGTGTTTTACTTTTTGATCTAAGCAAATCACTAAATTTAAAATATTGAACATTCAATACAAACAAATAATAAAGAATTCCTCATAAAACCGTTAAAATCACGTATCGATAATATATATTTTACTATATGAAAACAGAATATAAAAAAAAAAAAAAAAAAAAAAAAAATGAAAACACACGGTAAAACGTCTACGTTATAACAAGTAGTTGGCAGACAATATTATTTTTAGTCTCTACCATCATAATTCAAAGAATATTGTGTAACTAGTGTCCTTTTGAAATTTGATATGTTTTTATTTTTTACACACTGGCGAATATTCAAAAGTATTGGTCGGTATATATATATATATATATATATATTTCTTCTTCGCATACCTGATCATACCAATACTACAGGAATTGGCCCGAGAAACAAATTAAAAACTAATATTTTTTTTGCGAGCATACATTATGCAAAGGAAAAAAATGAAACTAAAAATTATCCTTCGGCTGTGTGCGTTTATATCTAAATTTTGAATGATATATTCTATGATAAATCGTTAATTTCCACTGAACGTTAAGATTTTCTTTTATGATTTTATCTTATAGAAAATTCCTCAAGTGTGAGTAAATTACTGTCAAACATATACAGGGTTCGATGTTTGAGAAACTATCCTGTTTGTAATTTCCACAAGATTAAATCCTAACTATAAATAAGTATGTTTGCTTTAAATCTTATTGCGATGGGATTTATTTATGCAGGGATTAAATAGCCTATAATACGTTAAGGCAAATATAAAATTAGAAGTCCGATATCATTCCATTAAATTAAAAAAAATAAAAGTATCCGCACTTTGTGGACGATCTTGATAATCTATAGATTATAGAAAATATTATAGAAAATATATTTTCTTAGGAAAAAAAAATAATTAATCTGGTCATTATTTTTTTCTACACAAAACAAAAAGTTTCATTTTGTTTATTCCGGATTAAATTTGTATTTAGAATTCAAATTTTACGAAACTTAATCTTACGGTAGACATTAGTGTGCACAGCAAAATAAAATAATTGTCCATATATGTTCGTACAACCATTGTTACTCGAAAATACTGGGAAATTTTAAACATCTTTACCAACAGTATTATATGCGAGTATTTTGCAAACTGTTTATACGACTCAAATAGAATATTTAGTTTGTAAATCTCAACACTGCAACGAGTTAAATACAATACAAAGTACAGTTTAAAATCTAATACGGTGTATTTGAAAAAAATATGTGCTGTCCATTAATCTCCACTAAAATTGTACACGCATTAAAAAAAAGTAAACGGAACCAGATTAAAACTATATAATAAGCATTCACATATGAAAATAACGTAATGTTTTAGTTCATATTGTTGCAATTTGTGTTCGGAATAAATTGTAATTGTCTACGCCACACGCACATGTACAATTATTATTACGATCTATCATTACATTGTTATGATAATGATAAACATTTCAACAAAAGGTATTGACAAAGGTAGCCACTTATAAGATTATGAACCGGTTAAGCTTGATTTGCATACTTAATATCAACCCTTAAACAACTTAAATGTTATATCTATTATTAAATTACCACCATACAATACCTTTGTCACCAATATCCCATCCTATACAATGCGCACAATACTGTAAAATACATATACACTTTTCATTAATTATCATAAAGCAAACATTACATATATTGTTTTACTTTTTATAATTTATGTGTTTTTTTATTTATTAATGTATATACGAGTACGTACGTTATGGCTGCCCCTCCGATCACTCTATCCAATAAAATCTTACTACCGACCTCAAAAATCCGATACTTGATATTAGATAAAAATCCAACTTGGGCCGAACATGTTGAGCAAAAAATATTTTTGATGAATTCCAAACTTAAATCATTTCACTTTCTTTTAAGGAATCATTCTAAACTAACCCTAAGAAATATACCTACTATTATAAAAAACTCTTTTAAACCCAATTTTGTCTTATGGTATTCATACATGGGGTGTTACTAAAAAATCAAATTTCTATCAAATACAATTTTTTCCATCTATTTCATTACAAATCATTATCAAAGTTCTCTCCTACATCACAAATTTTACCTATCATACTAATAAATAAAAAAAAAATAAAAAAATAAATATTTATACGATTACGTATACACCTTATACATATTATATGTATTGTAAAGAATATATATACTAGCTGACCCGACAGACGTTGTCCTGTCTTAATTATGAATATTGAATTCGAATTGGTATAATTAATAAAAAAAAATTATTGAAAAAAAGTGTTTATTATTTTAATGCTTCATGATATGCAAAATTCTAAGTTTTATTTTTCTTGACCGTAAATAAATAGTTTTGTTGGTATTTCGAAACGGGAAAAGGCCACATATAACTGACCATGTGTTAAACATGGATTTTCAAGATTGATGCCACAAACACTTAAGATTTATTTGTCGACATTGCAAATGCTAATAGAAATTGGAACCGTTTGAAGTTGAATAACATGTCAAAGGAAATCAAAGGAATCCATGAAGTCTAAACATCTTCGACTTTGTACTTCTCTTTCAAAATTGTGGCTTCGTTAACGTTGTTCATTAATTTCTTCACTGCGAGTCCGGGTACCATTACAAAGACATGGCTTGTTTATACTCCGCAACATAATGATTACAATTTTTAATTTCTGTGATTCGTAGGTAAATCAATTTTCAATCAAAATGTATAAATATTTTTGTAACGAATGTCCATTTATTACATAATAAGGATGAATTTAATAATATTTTCTTGTTATATTGTGAAGCCTTTTATTTAATTAAAAAAATATAGTATGATCGTTTTTGATGCAGATCCTCATAATAGAATCGAATTTTCACTAGTTGACAGTTTTATATAGCACTGTTTATAAAAACTTGTGTTATAATATTATATGATGAAGAACTATACAACAAAAATTAAATACTATCACGACGAACAAATATCGACAAATTAAACGGTACTTTATGTTTTTTTCGATTTCCATTGAGTTCGAACATTGGCAAAAAGCTTAAACAGCATTACGTAAATCTGAAATGTGTTTATTTTAGCGGAACGTGACAACAAAAGAATATTTTATTATACGAATCATTTAAAGTTCTCGTTGTTTGAAAATATAAACTATCTCCCATTGGCGAAAAAAAATAGGGTGGATGTGGGCGGCACAAATGTGTCGAGCCCTCGACGGACTCTTAAAAGGGGATCAAAACATTTAACAATATGCTTTTAAAATGGGACAATTCTTTACATACCAGTTATACTTAAAGTGTACATTCCTATTGTGGTTTTTTTTTTTTTTTTTTTTAATAACGCATTTCATTCCCTTTGATAGCTTCTATAAAACGTTCTAAATGATTTAACGCCTACCTTTTGTGTTAAAAAACACACTTATTTGAATTAAAATCGATTCATTGTGTTTCCCGAAATTAGAAATTTACTTAAATTTAAAAAAAAAAATTTACTCAGTCAGGTTGAATAAAACATTTCTTCTCCTTCGTTGTATTTGTCTGCAATTGTACTAAACAAAATTAAACAATAAGACCTACAAAAACCATTCATTTTAAATAGTGAACGACTTTACATAGTCAACAATGGTTTTGATGTATAACTTCAAAAACTTGAAAGCGTGTTCGTTCTGTTTCGATTTGAGTGGTAGAAAACCTACAATGCGTAACGGAAAAAAAAAACTTTCCTTTGCATGGTGTATTAATATATTCTACGACAAACTTTTACCTTCAACAAATTCATAAATAACACATTTTTCATGTACTTACATTTTAATTTTATATGTGACTGTTAGGTTATTAAGTAATTAAATTATCAGAATCTTATATAAAGATTATATATTATTAAAACATTTATCTATTAAATTATACTACAAATGGCTTTGAAAAATCAGCAATATTCTATCGTTCAAAAATAATGTATTTCAAAAACTTTAATATACTTAAAAATTGATACGATACTTGATTTATGGTTTTCTGGAATTAATTATCAGTAAAAAAATTGTTTAAGTTAAAGGTTAAAGAAGTTAATTCATAATTGGTATTTTCCTAGGTGGTTTGAACGGTGGAAATCACCGTAATCGATTATTTAAGTCAAGTTACGATTTTGAATGATAAATTTTACTAATGTTAAAAGAAATTATTAGAATAAAATAGTGTTGAATATTATATAACAATAACTTAAATATATATACATATCTGTTAAACGTATTTAAAATTTATGTTTCGATAAATACTACATCGAATCTCTCACCCAATATTTTCAGTTTAAGTGTTTTTAATGCTTTTCGGAAATATAACTTATTTATTGAGCGGTCGCTATTACATACTACTATTTTCGCATTATATACCATTATTCGTTTTCGGGACGTAGTTTATGTCGGTTGCTTGAAAACTGAAAAATTTTCTTGAATATAAAATAAATCGTAAATAGTACACATTCAATAAATGTGCGTTAGGTATTTTTATTTCTTGATACAAAAATAAACTACCATGAGAAGTTTTATCACGTTTATATATATTTTTATGGAGAAATATTTGTTCCGATTTTATTGATGGCAGTAGAACTGTACGTCTGTATTGACCTGAATATTGAAGATTCAGAGAAAGAAAATAAAAGGAATTTGAATTAAATAATTTATAATGTATAGTAAAGCAATAAAGACGTTATTTTCAATGGATTTAGGTACCTATTTTTCATGTTTGTTTAGGGAAAAAGATAAATGTCTCCTTTTACGCAAGTTACTTTTCTCTCTCTCTCTTTTTTCTCTTCTTACCCTACTCGTGCACTATATCGAAGGGATCTTTTTAATGGACCGGTTTTATGGCTTTTATCTTTTCAATGTTGATCTCCCATTCGGCTATCTTCCAATATGCGGTCTACCTCAAAAAATATGTGGTCTACCGTAATAATGTTAAAAGTATAAAAAAAAATTTTTTAACTATTAATTTATAAATTCTCTACTATGTATGTTATGTTTTACAAAAAAAATAAAAATAAAAAACATTTTTAAAATATTAAGAGCATCAATAAAAAAACATAAGTACATAGGTACCATCCAGTCACAAAATTTAAACAATTTTTATAAAATTATTTAAGTAATATTTTAAAAACTATTTTTTCAGGTCAAAATTTAAAAAAAGTTGTTTTACTACTAACGACGCTACACCAAATAGTAACCTATATTGTTACATGACAAATTATTTTTTATCGTTATGAAAAATTAGGATAAAACATTTACATTGGTAAACAATAAATATAAATTATGTGAGATTCCCAGCAGACCGATTATGAAGACAAAGTAATTGCTGCTTATTGGCAGAGGAAAGGAGTATGAATACCAACACGAAAATAAGAAAAAGATGTACTCACTGTACGAGTGCGAATCAATGTTAACAAGGAAACAACAATATATTTTATATGTAAAAGTATATTATATATAACAATATATTACTTTCTCAATAATGATATTTGTTATGATAGTTAATATTTAACGCAAGTAAATAGATTAAAAAAATTATGATTTTAGTATAATTGTATAAAATGGTCTTTGATATGAGCGGAGTATCAGTGTTTACTTTAGCCAACTAGTATTGATTATGTGCGCATTATCCAGATAGTGTATACTTTAACCATATTTCGGACTTTAACCGTAACATGCATTACATATATGTTTGGCGTCGAGGTACAATTTTAATAATCTACTAAACGAATCTTTCTTACCATAAAAATTTGTGCAGTGTTAGAAATTTATCTAAAAGCTGTAAGGATAACATAATACACACAAATAAAACAAATAATAATAATAATAATAGTTGTAACACACCAATCATGAATTTTGTATTTTATTCTGTTCAAAAAAAAAAAAAAATGTTTAACATTTAGAATCACAATTTCGTACACTAACCGATTATTTTGTACATTAACTATTGATTGAAGTAACTAGGTAGAAAATATATACCAAACCTGGTATTATAAAATTATATTTTCAACAGCATTAAGCGCAAGATATGAAATTACTTATGTGGCTATTTTTATGATGTGATAAGCGTACAAAGATAATATGGATTAATCTATCACTAACATTTACCTCACCAAATATAAATATTAATATTTTTTTTTAAATAAATAAATCGAATTCTGATTTTTTTCCCGCAATTAATTTATTAAAACACGTATGTAAATTTTCTTTTGAACTCATTATATTTCAGACGTTCACTTTTTACTCCGAACACAACTAAATTTCAATTGGCGTTATACTCATATAGATAACATCAAACAATTACGATAAATGATCGTGAGATAAATGGTAGTGATAGATTGTTCCATATTATCGTTATAAAGTTTTTACACCATTAGATTAACGCCATAAGTAATTTCATATCTTACATTTAGTGCCGTTGAAAATATAATTACATAATAAGTAGTAGGTTTTGTACATTTTTTTTACCCAGTTACATCAACCATCAATCAATGGTTAATGTATAAAATAGCTGGTTAATATATGATACTATGATTCTAAATGTTAATTGTTTGCTTTATCCAGCTAGTATGGAATATGTGTATATTATCCGGATAGGATATTATCCTAGTATGCACTTTAGCCATGTTTCTTCGGTGGACAATTGACATTTGACAATTGATGATATTCTTATGTTTCGATGAACTTAAGCCGTAACATATATATATTAAAATGTTATGTGATCTTTTTTTTTTTTTTAGTTGTATAATTCAAGACGTATTGGAATTGTTATTCATCGCGTTTGGATATTTATTTAGAAAAAAAAAAAAAAAAAATATGATGTAAATTCTGAAATGTGATAAAAGGTCGGGCGAAACAATCGAAACATACAATAAGTATCGGTCTCCGACCATTATTTGGTTGCCACGGGTAATGGACAGTTTATGAAATTATAAATCATCCGGTTGGCATAAGAGTTGTGAAATAAATGTAGAGGCTATTCAGGATTCGGGTGACGGGTTGCAATTTATCCGTGTTATACAATAAGGAGAATAATGGGAACCGGAATAAAAAAAAGGTTCAAACAAGAACGTGGTTGCTATTACTACTACTAATACTACTATACTTTACGGTGAAGAATAATTGAATACACTGAGGGGAGAAAAAGTCCTACGTTTATATTTAATAGCCAATGTTATGTGTCGTGAAGACAAAGGTCCCCGTAGGAAATGCGCGCGAAGAGGAAGGAAATTAACAAGATAATTGTGTCAAGGAATCTAAAAACATTTTTATTTATTTATTTTTTTGACAATCATTGTTCGAATCAGTGAACATTTTCAATAGGAATCAGTGGACAAACACAATGATGAACGTATTTTAGATTTCGAAAAGTATTACTGTCAGACAATACAATGGATCAAGAATCCCATGCATTTCAGATCATACCATTTATAACGATTAATTAGTTATTACTTACTCTCGGTTACGATAAATATCGACCTTGCAAAGTAATAATATTATGTTCATATGTTTTAGTTTCCATGCTGTTATTTTATAATAAAACCGATGATAAATGAATAAATAAAAATAAAAATACAATTATTTATGAATATTGAATAAAAGTTAATTTAAAAAATAGTTATAACATAAAAAATTATCGGTGATGATATTGTTCATTAGTTCTTTATTAATAACAATCGATTTAAATTTAATTTATACTTTTAAACAGAAAAATTTGTGGCAAGAAGTATGACATTGATTAAAATATTCACTAATTGTAGAATATGTGTGTGTTGTTGTGTGTTATTGTACTTATACTTAAAATGTGATTTGAGCATTTTAATACAGACGAATAAATTATCTATTTATGTGTATATTTTATGTCGTATAATATAATTAAGTATAAATCGACGAGATTTTATTTCAACAAAAGCTTCATAACATTAAAACACACATAAACTATACATACATTCAAATGTGTACGCATTATATTCAAATTCAAAGTGACTTGTTTCAGAGTTTAATCAATAATCTCCGTGTTAAGAGAACACGAGCAACGTCTGTTTATTCTCATCTTTAGAAATTATAAATGTTTTTCCACAAATTAATGTGTATAAAACTTGTTGACATGCAATGCTATTATTTAGAATGACATTAAATAATCCTTGAGACGATTTCTGGGATTTAAAGCGAAGAGATTTTAATTTATTTGGTACTTGTACAAAGAAATAAAATGCGTTACTCGATCACTTTGGACCCGTTGATTCGAAACTGTATGTGCATGTCACTCCATGCGTTTTGTACAAATTTCAGAATACCACTAAATTAATAATATTTGTTGTTAAATCTATATTTCCCATGAAATAAAATAAAATGATAAATAATATGAAAAATAAAAAATAAAATCAGCTATTCATCTCTAAATATTGTAAGTATATTATTCGCATGAAAAAATTATTCTGAAAAATATGAAACCATAGGCGCAACTAGAAGCCAAACACTGGGGGTGCTAAAATTATGACCCGTGGGGGCTATGCCCCCACACCCCCAAATACCATATTTAAATCTTATAATTACTATAACTATTCTTAAATGAACCATAAAAACATGGCACACAATATTTAAGTATACTAACAGTAATATACCTGATATTACATATATTATATTATTTAGGCGATACAAATAAAAAAATCTATTTTATAATTTGTTAAAATTATTATGTATTAATAATATAATTTAAAATTTTTAGCAGTTACTTTTATAAGGTACATTTTATAACTAAATATATAATTCAAAATTCTTACATGTCATACTAATATTATTTTTCTTTTAGTAGTTGAATATTTTTCTAGTATTTCTGATGAAGTAATTTTATTAACAATATCTCTTTCAATATTCAATATTGATAAATCTGTGAAACGCTGTTGCTCCATACTTGCCCTTAGCCAGTTTTTTAGACGACGCATTGAGGAAAAGCTTCTTTCACAAGTAGCAGAACTCACCGGAATTGTAAGAGCAACTTGTAACATTTTATACACGTTTGTAAATGTGGACTCCTTACAAATATCTTTAGTAACATCATGATTATAATTGGAAGGTAAGCAGTTCTTTATAACAAGCATTTCAGCTTTCAACAAATTCAAATTGATATTCATAACAACCTTAAATTAAAATTAATTAATTTATTATTATTAGTACATAAAAAAAATCACTTGCATTGAAATATAACACACTTTATAATGATTTATGAAGTATTGACTCTTTTCATAGTCCATTTCCATAAAACAATCAATCGAACTAGCCATTTCAAGACTTTCATCATAGGTTACAGTTAAAACACTTCACATGAGAAAACAAAATATATTTTATTACAACCGTCAACCTTACAGTAATGGGTTTAGAAAATGACAATGGTCAACGAGTAGAACGTATACGGTATACAGTATTGAGTATACATTATAATATGATTTTTGATAAACAAATAGCTAATTCGTGGAACAGCCGGACAATGACATTTGGCGATTTATTGAATAAACTACAGTGACAGTATTCTATAAATAAACTACTGGTTTTATCCATTTATCACTTATCTGTTATCTAACCCTCATATTTTTAAATTATATCAATTGATTACTGCTAACCACGATTTTAGATAAACATATTTAATCGTGCTGCTAATTTATTATTTATGACTGCTACGATATTGTCGATATTAATATATTATATCACGTAATATTTGATATAACGTATAACTATAATCATCACAAACAATTTGTGTTTCTGCTAAAAACGACAAATAAAAATAACTTGCGTAAAATGAACAAAATTATGTTTTTCACGCGATTTTACAATTTATGGTGTTTTTGAACTGGGGGTGCTAAATTAAAGTCTGGGGGTGCTGAAGCACCCCCAAGCACCCCCCTAGTTGCGCCTATGTATGAAACGTTATGTAGTGAATAATGTGTTATTATCTAGCATTCAGCATATTTACACAAATCACTCATTGAAAATTGGACAAATAAAGAAACAGCGTGTAATTTTTTAGGGTGTCTACTGTTTTGGCAACCAAGTGAACGAGAAGTTAAGCGAGAAAATAATTAGAATTCGATACTATTTAATTAATGTTTAGTAATGTAATATATCTAATATACATTTACTTATAATAAGCTAATTTTTTTTTTTTTGAAATTTATCTATAACACGATAAGTTTTCATATCACTTTAAAATGAATAAATAATAATTTTATAAAATTATTACATAATATTATGGTTGATACATTTGCATAGCTTTATAATGAATCGTATTGATATAATACATAGAGTTATTAAGCCATTTTACTGAAGTATTCAGATATTTATTACACATTATAAATCTACATAGCTTTTAAACGTCGGATTTTCTCCGAACGATGACTATAGTGGCGTATTTTAATCAGCCTAATACGACGTGACTCGCACTTGGCTCGGCAGCCGTTTAACGTTGTTTTTATAGCGTACGGTATGCCCCCCTTCTCACAAGCGTTTTATAACAACTCACGTCTACCCGGAACTTTAAGCAGCCCTCATCTTGACCACTCTTTACCAATCTCTCTCTCTCTCTCTCTTTCTCTTTCTCTTTCTCTCTATTCCTCGAGCACAACCCTTTCATTTCGACGACGCGTTTAATAATATTATACAATGTGGCGGTTTTTACGGCACGGCGGCGGTTCGTTAAATTGTTAAGCCCGGACAGTGTAATAATGAACTGCCCTGCACGACCGTCAATGGTGTTTTGCATTTAACTATAGAAAGCACTTTGCGCGTATTAACCGAATAACGGAGGAGAGAGTCCTACCCCGACGACGGGACGAGTAAAACGACAATATATAATACTCGTACAATAGTTCGAGGTCGTCTAACAGTAAATAATGAACATAGAATATACACCTACTCGTAAGTATACCTACTTGAATGAGCACGTTTTAAATGACGAGACTAGGATGGGTGAACCCCTTCAATAGAAAAATTAGTCAATTGTATTTTAGGATTTAAGTTTTAAACAATTTATTATAATTCTACTATGATTCGATAAATGTTACATAATTTTAAATATTTGAGCTGAAAGTGTGTTTTATGAGCATTTTATCATGCTGTTCTTAATAGTTTTTTGTCAATTATATATTTACATTATATCTTCCGGCGACGTCAAAATAAAAATAAAAAAACAACGACCAAAATTTACTGCTTCTGGATGGCGTTGATCGCATGAGACCATGGACATAATTTTTGTTTATTACATTTAAATTAAAAGTATTAAATAATTTGTAATTAATATTAATAAATGTACACAAATATATATATAATATATATAACGTACATATTAATATTACATATTATGTACATTATTGCACATAAATTATACGTTTTACATTATTATATTTATTATTATGTTGTTGTCGAGTACCGACGGAATGTTTTGCATGTGCTGACGTCATTTCGTTGAGCCACAAGAGAGTAATCATTAAAATAACTTGGTCGTCCCGCAATACTAACACAACTGTACAACTATACGATGCACACAATGACAAGTTTTTTTTTTATCACGCGACTTTTGCTATCTGTTCGCCCTAGGTTTTTTCTTTTTTTGTAATTTATTTTTTATTTTTCATCTTACGCGTTATTTATCTTTATTTTTTCGCCGTTTTTGTTTTCTTCTTTGAGCGTACCGTGTCACATCCCCTTCGAGACGTGGCGATGTACAATGCCGTGGAAACGCGAGCATCGTTCTGCGAGGGAATAAAAAATAATTCATTATCATAATTACTACTTGGAAAGTTCGTCGTGTGGACAGGAAATCGTCTCGTACACACACACACACACACACACACACACACACACACACACATACACGCATACGCACACACATACGATTATTCAAATCATACTCGTCAGAGTTGCGAGGCCAATCGTATCGGATCTTTTTGTATTCACACTTTAATTTTTCCAACGCGCACGTAGACACCTAACCACAATAGGCCACCACGGTTTGGCCCGAAGATCGCGTTTTATAGTACACTGTTTGAATGCATTAAAATGAATTCAATGATGTGTTGTTTAAACTACTTAATAACCACTTCCATTAATAATAACGTTAATGAACAAAAAAGTGGAATAACAAAAAAAAAAAAAACGTATTTTATGGCTTGGACTAGTATATATTTATTATTAGTTACAACTTCCGTGATTGTCCGATCGATGAAGTTGGCGAACATTTACAAAACGCAATTGTTGAAAGTCGTTTGTCGTTAATACGCTTACACTAATGTTTGTCGATTTTCTCACAGAAACGTGCGCCCATAGGGTGCAGCGTACAGTGCGTTTGATGAGACAAGCTTCCGGCATCTCACGCCCACCACGACAAGGGTGTATTATTGTGATTATTATTAGACGCGTTTTGCAGTTTACATAATAAAAAAGAAAACCATTTTTCTCTCTTTTCCACCCTCTTTTTTTCTCACTCGTATACACACTCACACATACACCTCCTTTCCTTGTATTCCCTCTCGCCCTCTCTCTCTCTCTCTCTCTCTCTCTCTCTCTCTC